CAGTTAAAAGACAACAACGAATGGGATAGTCTACTTTTTATCCTATAAAAGAAAATAATTTATATTTATAAAAGACCATTTATAAGGTTTTTTAACAATAAGGGATTCCAGGGATAATGAACAAATTCTTTCTATTATCCCAGGAATCCGTGAAAATCCTTTAAAGTTTTCTTCCGCGAAAATCCTTCAAAAGCTTCAAAATATATATTAAATTTTATAAAACTGGATATAATATTTAAATTAAAAAAGCTATATTTCAGACTCAAAAAATGAAAGAAAATATAAATCTGCTTAAATTAAATGTATGTATGTACCATGTTAGATATTTGTAATATTTAATTTAGTACTGTAACATGAAACTTTTGAATAACTCTTATTTTAGAATAACCTTAAAAATCTAATAACACGGATCATTGATTACAATTATAATTGTCATAATCCAAGGTCGAACAATCGACGCGCATTTCAAGCCTACGTGTATTTCATAACTAGGGTATTTATATTTAGTGCTTTACAAACTTTACTGATAAGGAGCTCTTAAGCAAACTATGTGGTAATTTATCTGATATCACCACAATATACATAATATGTAGAAGTTACAAACTCGGCCGAAATAATTAATGACATACCCGCCTTCTTGACTTCATCTATTTATACCTATACCTAATCATATTATGGTAGTTTATCTATACTAATATTATAAAGAGGTAAAGTTTGTGAGATTGTGAGCTTGTGACGATGTAGGGGGTAATCTCTGGATGAAGATGATCTAGATGAAATTTGGTAAGAAGATAGTTTGAGATCCTGGAAAGGACATAGGATAGTTTTTATCCCGGAAATCAACCCTTAAGGGGGTGAAAATCATGGGAAACAAGCTAGGGACAAACCCGAGCGAAGCGAGGGTGAGTCACTAGTATATGATATTATCAAGTTTAAATATACCAAATAATAATAGTATTTTTTTTTGACGACAAATAATAATACTTTATTTACAATAAGGAAAAGTACAAATATACCTAATTGTATATACAAAACAAATGTACACTTGTTATTACTGTACAAGTCATGTCCGCGCGGAATAGTGGCGAGAATGCTAGCCGCATTCCCTCGTTGAATGGCAATGCCGTTTCTGTGGGCGAAAAATATACCAAATATAATATGTACCTTCGCTATGGATACGGTTTTTGTAACTATAAGCTTTTTAAGATGCTGTATTCGTATATCTGAATATCCTTAATGAAACTATCGCGCATAAACTATAGATACTTTTCGCGTAAATCTAAGAAAGTATTGTCTGATTAGTGAAAATGGTGAAAATTAGAGATAAAGTTCCTAAAAATATGTGCGAAAACTCATTGGATCCGGATGAAGACGTCAAGAAAAATGTGTTTATCCTTTTAGTTTATACCATTTTTCAGCATGTAAAAATTTTCAAAAGTTATGAACAAATAAAGATGAAAAAGAAGGTATTTAGATTTTCGCTATTAATTCAAAAACTATTCGGTAATATTTAAAAAATTAAAAAATAAGATCCCTAAGAGGAGGAAATTTCAACTCCTCTTTTCTCTCTGGAGTCTCTACTCCTGGAACTCTACCTGCATTATTTTTTTATAATTTCAATTTAACGCTGAAAATAGAGGTGAGCGCGCGCCGCCTCACATCATGTAAAATATTTTTTTACAGTATCAAATATCAATTTACAAAATTTTAATAAATTATGGTGTATTGCAAACACTTCAAAGAATTTAGCCCTATTAAAAAAAAGTTATAAATTTTGCGCTTCTTAGAGCCATTCTTATATATTATATACATAATATATTATATACACACACACCTAAGAAAGTATTAAATAATAAACGTCGTTAATACATTACGTAGTTTGCTATATGACTTTTTAACTTTTGAGCGATTGAACTAAGAAAGGCGAAATAATCCGAAAAGATAGTTTTATTTATAATATAATAACCTCAACCGTAACCTTGTTTATGTAACTTTTATCTATTAAATGATAATTTTGTAAATAACACTAATCAATGAAATAAAACACAAGTAAATATTGACAGAGCATTAAAATATCTTCATTAATGTTTCCAAAGACAACTGGAAAATTACTTTGTACACGAATATCAACTATTCGTAAATGTTATTGAGTGATTAACGCATGCTAATTAAAGGGATTTTTTATCATGACTCATATTATAGTATATCTACTGTACAGTTCGGTATTTACCATTTGGGTACAAAGGCACATGTCCAAGCACCCTGCTTCACGGAGGCCCCAAAAAGACAACACATTCGTTTACATGGAAAAGAGAGAAGCAAATTATTTTCTTCACAATGATTCCTTAAGTAAAGGAACAATTTCAAATAGAACTTGCTTGCGCTTTTAGTCGGTCCTCAACCACACATTAACTCTTTCTACACCAGATCAAACTTAGTACCCTAGTACTGTCACGCCTAGGGCCTGTCACGAATTTCGGATATAGAACCATAAAAAACTTATTTAAATAGTTTAGGCAGCAACAGCAAACAAGCAGTTCACGATTAAACGAATATTTGTAGTAATAGACAGACGAAATTACAGATAGTTAATTAAATCCATACTACTCGTAATATTACAAAGGTGAAAGTGTGTTTGTTTGTTTGTCTTTCTTTCACGGGAAAACACATTACTTATACAAGCAAAAAAAATATTTATGATCAGAATTATGTACTTGAAACTTTTACAATGAAAACGTATAAATGTTCTTCAATAGAATTAAACAAATACGTGTTTTAGAATTTTTCGTAATTCATTTCATAGGGAGGTAAAATAGGGGATGTAAATTTATATGAAACCTACTTTTTAGAGATTTTTTGTAGTTATAGCGCGAGCGTTGCCGTGGATTCTGCTAGTTAAAAAAATTACAATACAAAATATACCTATACCTATAAATAAGTATATAATAAGGAGAATAAATGGCATACAATGTATTGATGAGTTGATTCGGTTATAATTGTCACAAAGGCTATCATTTATATTGTCATATCAAAGTGAATTAATTGTGATTATAGTATAATATATTTGCAATCCTCTCAGAGGGTATCGACCTACTTTACTTAGTATTGCTGACATCAGTGTAATTGTATAGGCTTAGTTTTGATGTAAGCAAAATACACTGTAAGCAGAACTGCGATAACAATCTTACTAATTTTATATGAATGATTGGATGGATGTTTGTTAGTCAATCACGCCAGAACGGCTGAATGGATCTGGATAAAATTCACAGATATAGATAATAGTCTGGAATAGCACATAGTTTGCTTTTTGTCCCGTTTTTTGTCCCCGTAGGATAGATTTGTTTTTGTTTTTCTAGAGACGAACCCAAGCGAAGCAATGGTGAGCTGCGAGGCCGTGAGTGAGATTTTCAATTATGTCGGATCCTAGGCGTTAATTTGTGTCTTGAAATTTTTTTTCGTCATATGTTTAAAAATAATTTAGGATAAGAAATTCTTAAATAAAACTAAAAATGTGTAACTAACCAAAACTAAAAAGCTGTAAATAATAAAAACTTTTTAACAAAAAAATAAAAACCGACTTCAAACAAAAGCACTAAAAAGTAAAAAATAACTGATTGGTAGTTTTCATTTACTATACATACCTAATCAAATATTTTCGAAGTCGGTGTGCTTTGCTTTGTATGGGCTGGCACCGATTTCGAAAATATTTGATTAGGTATGTATTTAATAGGTAGGCTTTAATTACTTAGCCAAAGTAGTAGAAAAGTAAGGATTCTAACGCAAAGGCTTGTCAAATCAAACAAAATAAGCCCAAACTCAAAGTATCTACTATTAGCCGTTGAAGAGTTCCACCTATCCACCTTCTGGCCTTACCATCAGATCAGGTCAACAACACCGAACCACTGTACTATCAACGGAAATAGAAATACTTGCAAAGTTTCAAGTCAATATGACAATTAGAAGTAGGTTAAATTCATCATTCCACCCGTAGGAGTGGTATTTTTTTTAATTTAAATGGGACCAATCTGGAAGTATACCCTTTCAAACGACACAAAAATTGTCCAAATCGGTTAATAAATGACGGAGTTCTGAGGTAACAAACATAAAAAAAAAAAAACATACTGTCGAATTGAGAACCTCCTCCTTTTTGAAGTCGGTTGAAAAAAATAATTTATAATAATAAAAAACCAGACTGCGAAAAAAGCGAACTAAAAAGATGAGAACAAGTTTACGAAGAAACATAGTATTATGCAGTTGTAGCAAGACTCGCAGTTAGTATAAAACATGTACATATACTCGTAGGTACATATTATGCCTGCGACATGTTCTCATCTTTTTGGTTCGCTTACTACGCAGTCGGGTTTTCATTTTTGTAAATTAATTTTGATTACATTGGTTGAATAAATTGTAACTGACCTCCCTAAACCTTAGTTCTTCTAACACCATAACCTTGAGCAAACTTAAATTAATTTATGCACTATTAAATAAAACTATCTTTTCGGATTATTTCGCGGATTTATTTTGATTTTTGGTTCCCGACGTTTCGAATGCTTTACAGCATCCATGGTCACGGGAGAGACTGAGGTGTTACATGTCTTAATGTAACACCTCAGTCTTATGTCTTAATGGAACCAAAAATCAAAATAAATCCGCGAAATAATCCGAAAAGATAGTTTTATTTAATAATGTCAAACATTCGCGTAAATCTAAGAAAGTATTATAATTTATGCACTATTAGAGACGTAACAAAAAATTATATGATTAGATAACTAAGAGACATTTTATATGTTTACATTCTTTATGATAAGTCTCATATCACTTATCAGTTTCATAATACTTATACAGTTTTAGATGTGTACAAGTCACATTGTTTTTTGTAATTTTTTGCAAAGTAATTATAATTAAACTGAAATATGGTCAGTTTTCTTTAAAAAATAAGGTCAATTTTTGAAAAACTGTTTATTTTGAGGTATTTTATTTATTGACTATATAATTTACAGGTCAAAGAAGTCGCAAAAATGGCTTTGATAACAGAAGACATGGATCTGGAGAAAGAATACTCTCCAAGTATGTGGTCGAGAAGGTTCTCCTCAGCACAAAAGGTCCTCCAACATCATGTTGACTTTGTTACTACAGGTATTTTTGTTATTTTTGCTAGGATATTTTATTATTATAGTTTTTTTTTTCAATTCTCTTACCCGACGAGATCCTTTTTGGTTTTATCAAATATATTTTATGGAATACTATATTAAGCTTAAATAGAAATTTAAAAAATAAACAGGTTCTGCTTATATATGTAAAATATATTTTAGTTTTATATACATTTTTAATATGCGAGATTAGCATTTCACTAAATTTTCAACGTCCTCGTCAGGGACCTTCACAGTTTTCTTCAATAGTAAAATATTCAACCTGAAGCAAAGAAAAAGTTATAGGATATAATGTGCATGTATTTTATTATTTTTGATGTACCTACTATTTACATTATCAACACATCGGAAATAATTTAAAATAAAAATATTTTCAACAGATAATAAATTTGACCTGTTTATTGTTTAAACGCCGCTATTTTCGCGCTCTTGGAATGCGACACAAACAATGGTTTTGATCATCAATTTCACGAGACTGCTATTAAAATGACCATATTAAAAGTCATAAAATGATGAAAATATGAATCATAAAATTTAAATGAAAACGTTTTTTACCCTTTTTTGCGATTATGTGTTATTAGAAACTCAGACTGAGGAATAATATAGATAGAGTGTCAAAGAACTAAACATGAAGCCAAATAGTAAGAGATCCCGATCTATGTGGTGGAACCCTCACTCTTTTTCAAGGCGAAATATATATTTTTATCAATAAAACATTAATATGAACATATTTGCATGCACAGCAAATTACGCTACTATTTTTGATTTTGATATTTATTTTGGCGGACTCCGTCTATGGGTTAGAAACGTCGGGGACCAAAAAATTAATTAAAATCAAATGTCAAATACTATGTTCATATTTACTTCTTTCTAAATGATAATTATTAGCCAGCCAAAGTTAGATAATTACATTCATTTATTCATTACAATTACATTCTAAGTAGATTCTTCTCCTTAGTCGTACCCTCTTGGCAGAGTAGACGTGGTTGACTACGATGAGTTTTCTTTGGCTAATGTAGCCCCCGCGATGTGCCTACATTTATATTCAATATTTTTTTCATATTTAACGGTTTGCCTCCATTTATAACGGTTCTCAGCGTCTCGGGAGCACTGGATTATGGAGTTTTGTGTTATGGCTTTTATAAGGTCTGTCCAACGCATGTGTGATCGCCTGCATGACCGCTTGCCTTCTACTTTCCCTTGGACAACGAGTCGTTCCATGGAGTGCACATTTCGGACAATGTGTCCAAAATATTTGAGGATTCGGGACTGCACTGTAAACGATAGTTTTGCGTAAAATGGTGGTCAGATACATGAAGTTCCAACTGTACGCATATAAGGTGGTTTAGTGCGATGCATGCGTGTAGTGTGCGATGGCGACGTTTTTCGAACAAATTCTACCGGGTCAACTACCTAGTATATAAAATACACGCGCAGGTTTAAACTCGCTTACATTTATATGCAAATCAATTATGAATACGAAATCAATTGTTAAGATTTTATTTGTATTTATCTTCGGTACCTAACTGTTTCTCGTTACGAATAACATGTTTATTTTTATTAAAGAATTTATATATATGAGTACATATATTGGCGTTTAACATGCACGAAGTATAACTTAGACATCTGGAAACTTTATTTATTTTTAAAGACCATGTAGGTATATTAGTATGAGAATATTTATAATCACATATTCGGCCTATATAGGGAAGTTAGACGAATACAACGCAATTACCATTCTAGGTCAAAGATACCGTGTTGAAAACAACGATTGTTTTATTGTCAAATAATCAAAAATTTATATTTTCAGTTAATACTTAAACTTATTCTGTACACCAAAGGGACTCGACAAAATTCAATCATATAGATCGATCGAGTAATCGAAGAAACGCTTTATCGCCTAAATCAAAGGACTGATTCCTTCCGCTTTTTCTCTACCTAACGCCTTTGTAAAACGAAATTCTCATCATTATTCTTTTAAGCTAAACTTACTTTCTAAAGCTTATTATAGAATGCGAAGATAGCTCCTGTGCGAAGCGAGTGGGGGTCGCTTATTATTATTATGTGATTTTATATTAATTATAAGTGTTATCTATACATATAATCAAATTGTAACTAAGTCGAATCTGTACATTAACATTTTTTTTGAAAATCTAAGTGAAATAGACATTATTATCGATACAGAGTCCGAATCTATAGTTTTTAGAATTTTTGTCTGTCTGTCTGTCTGTCTGTCTGTCTCTCTCTGTCTGTCTGTCTGTTACCGCATCACGGAAAACCACTGGACAGATTTTGATGATATTTGGTATGATGATAGCTGGTTATCCGGGTCAACATACTTTTTACCGCAGGAATATATCTCATTTCTGAGAAAAAATATAAAAACTGCATTGTAAGAGTATCGTATGTAAAATCTAAGAATTTGGTTTTTGGTCATCTGAATGCAGGCGGAGCCGCGGGCAATGCTAGTTAAGAATAAATTTTTATGAAGAGCGACATTTACTTTTAAGCATGTAAGGCGGTATTTTGATTGAAAAATAATTTACACTCTCAACTATGCAATATATTTTAAACAAGAACAGCTGTTACTATCATATTCTATCATCAGTAACACGTGTCTAATTTGACGTACATAATATTTGTTATTCCTACATATACAACTATTATTTGAATAAAGCTGTTTTACTCAAGATATGCTACGTCGTATTAGATTGTAGAGCTATAATGTTATCTTTTATGTATTTATCGTTAACCTATCTTTTTTTAATGTTGGGAAATGCATTTAGGCATACCACCTGCATACATACAGGTGATATGTAGGACTCACCAGTATACAAAAGCCAGTACTACCCACTAAATGGGATATTCCAAGTTTCACGTAAATCCGTTGCACCGTTACGCCGCACACAATTTCATATACGATAAATATAATATTGGACTATTAAATAAAAGTATTTTGTTTATAATTCTAAGGCTTTTATTATTTATTATTTACAGCAAGCGAAATCGCAGTCAACAACGTACCTCATAAATTAGAAATAGAATACGGATCCAGTCCCGGGCAGAAACTGGATATTTTGGGAACTGATCTTCCAGATGGTAAGATGTTAATTTATAATTATCTCACACCTTTTGTTATTTAGGTATTATAAGTAATAGTATAAGAATTAAGAACCATCTTACTACCTGTCACACCGGATCAAACCGATGGAAAGAGCTTGCGCAACAGAAAGGATATTGACGAAAATGTGTTGACAATGCTGTTACAACTTAGGTTACGTATATGCCATATTTATCCTCTCTCTTCTCTATTTATACATTAAGAAAAAAATACACAATCTACAATTCCCAAAATTCGTCACCAGCTCTCGGGCTATATTGTTGATCGATTAGTTTCGCGTGGTAAACATGCATGAATTTTTTTTCGCTTATGTGACCAATTCATTTAATCGGCGGGAATTAAACCGTTATTGCCAGACCATATATAAATTCATACTAACATTCCGCCCTTACTTCGGTCAGACTCATAACTGTAATCGACATAGGCCTCAGCTTCTTTTACCAGTATATCTAGATATGTACATAGTAATATTCTACCAATAATCTCCCATTTTATTTTTTTCCAACTCCTTATCCAATAGGTAATTTTAACCCTTTATGGGTACATACTGCAATGTAGAGTTTAAGAATCTTTATCGTGTCTATAAAATCAGTTAAAATGTTTTTTAAGTGCTACATAAGGTACGGAACGAAAATTTAAGGCAAGTATTCTAAAACCTGTTCATTTTACCTTAAAAATCAGCGCATTGTGTAGGTGTGTGCGTGTGTGTTTCTGATATTGTTTTCCTCACACATAGAAACTTTCACATCTATACATATAATAAGTCGAATCTGTACATTAAATATTTTTTTGAAAATCTTATTAAAATAAACATTATTATCGATACACAGGTCGAACCTATAGTTTTTAGATTTTTTGTCTGTCTGTCTGTCTGTTACCGCATCACAGAAAAACCACTGGAGGGGTTTTGATGAAATTTGGTATGGTGATAGCTGGTTATCCTGTTTTATTTTTAACGTTGGGAAATGCATTTACGCACGAAGTGTGGGACACACTGGCGAAGTCAGTACTACCCACTAAAACCCAACAAAACCTTCCCCCGTCTTAATGGGGCGTCGCAGGATCGCTTACGCATTCAACTACGAAACCCCGACGGCAGGTCTGCCGAAGCAGATCACAACAACCACGGGATTGCTCCAAGGTCCACTCTGCTATCAGAGAAGTACCAGGAGCAACCCGCATGGTACACCGCCCTCCAAAGAGGGCCGCCTCCCACCGCCCACCGAAGCGGGCCACCTCCCTGTGCGTTTCTTGGCTTCGCGCCCGGCTGTATTGCCGGGCACTACTGAGCCCCCCCACCACGACAAGGTGAACGCACGTTGGGGGGGATAGCTGGTTATCCGGGTCAACATATAGAATACTTTTTACCGCGCGAAAATATCTCATTTCTGAGAAATACAGAAACTGCATTGTAAGAGTAATACTAATATGTAAAATCTAAGAATTTGATTTTTGGTCATCTGAACGCGGGAATTTAAAATATATTTTATATTTGAAGTTTACGTCACATAAATCATAATACAGCAAGTTTATAGTTTTGTTTACTGATTTTGAATGCATTTAATAAGTGAACATGATTGGATACGAAACGCGTGTCAAACAACAGAGCGGCACGGTTTTATAAATTACTTCATTCAATATACTTATTTCACAAATTAAACACTCACTATGTATAGAATAAATAGGTACTACATGTAAATACATACATAGAAAGTTTGTATGTAATAATTAATAAATACAATATTTAATCATTATTTTATACTTGGGCAACCGATCTTCGCTTGGCGTAGGCGTTTGTTCAGTAGGTTGGCGGCAATTCAAGTACCACAAAAATTTACAAGATGGCGCTATATGACATTCTCAGCATGAGAGCAGACAAAAAAGACTAATAATCCCATTGTCCCATTATTATATATTATATTAATATTATAAATGCGAAAGTTTGGTTGAATGGATGTTTGTTAGTCAATCACGCCAGAACGGCTGAATGGATCTGGATCAAATTTGGCACAGAGCTAGATTATAGTCTGAAATAGCACATAGATTGATGAATCTATCCTGTAAAAATGTACGTTTCCCCTGGCACAGGTTTGTTTTTGTTTTTTACAGAATAAGGGGTCGACTTCCATACTAAGCCTTAAAACGTACCTTAGGACGAACCCGAGTGAAGTGAGGATGAGCCGCTAGCTAGTTATATAAAAAAATGTTTTTTTTTTGTGAAATATTGTAATTTTTCAGAAAAGAACATATATAGATAAACTTAAAAAGCAAAACTCTATCTTAATACAAAATTTGATCCAAATTCTTACAACCGTTTCCAAGATACATAAATAAATTAATAAACAAGAATAATTCATTTAACATTTTAAGATTATTTTATTAATCCTGCTTATTATGCTTATAATATAAAAGTCATGTTAAGAAAACTAACATTATTTTTAAATTTCAACTTCATTTTAAAGTTTTTAGTACTATTTTAATATTTGTCGTCTTTTATATATTTTGCGGCATTTTTATAGATTTTTTGATTCTTTAAAAAAGGTGAAAAGTCAAACTTTGCCAGACTGTAAATATGTTTATTTTTTATGATCATTATTTAAAGTCAATGCTTTTTGAATCATATATAGTATACATTAATAGTGTTTAACCACAAATCACACAATACTATACTAGTACTAGAAGAACCCGCGCTACGCCCGTGTTGAATCTACAAAAAAAAACTCTTTGTCTTTATGTTATACAGCGACTCACTCTCGCTTCGCTCGGGTTCGTCGCTATGTATTTATACAATACTGTTCATACAAAAATATTAAAATCGCGATTAAAAATTGAGGAGGGTGGGGTTAAGAGGATGAAAAATACTTTATGACCAATTTCTCATACCTACAAAATATATTAAAAAAAACATTAAAATCAGTCGAGTCGTTTCGGAGGAGTGCAACTACAAACACTGTGACACGACTCACTAGATATTTATAAATAAAACTAGCATTGCCCGCGGCTCCGCTCGCGTTCAGATGACCGAAAACCAAATTCATAAGTTTTACATATTATTAGTACTCTTACATTGCAGTTTTTGTATTTTTTATCAGAAATAAGACGATTCCCGCGATAAAAAGTATCCTATATGTTGACCCGGATAGCCAGCTATCATCATACCAAATTTTATCAAAATCCCTCCAGTAGTTTTTCTGTGATGCGGTAACAGACAGACAGAAAGATAGACTGACAAACAGACAAAAATTTTAAAATCTATAGATTCGGCCTCTATATAGATAATAATGTTTATTTCAATAAGATTTTCCAAAAATATCTAATATACAAATTCGGCTTAGTTACAATTTTATTATATGTATAGATAACTAACATTTTTTTTTAATATGTTAGCAAAACTAATAAAAACAGAGCGCGTATTGTCAACATATCGTTAACAATGTCTGTGCTATATCCGGTGCTGTTAAAGTATTGATAAGATCTGATTAATTACAATACGACTTTAAAATATCACAATGTATACCGTTAATTATACCTTCTGTTCATAAAAACGCATTAATTATTTTTTAACATTATGTAATATGTTGGTTCAAATCTTTATGAACTATTAATCTCACTGTTCAAAGGTAGGTAGGTACATTTATAAAAATATTCTATCGTATCTGTGAGAGGTCGATCATTCAAATCCCATTTAAATCCAAATGGTGTGAATTTATCGTAACCGCACTTCTATTTTTAGTTTTTGCACATTTAAAAATTTAGATACTTCTTACGTTAAAAGGATTTACCAAAAAACAAATAGGTAACAAGTACACAACAAAATTTAATTCTCAAAAATTATTTTGTAATATATTTAGAACTTTGTTTTGTCTTGTCTCGATCCTCGTTTATAATCTGTTTCGTGTTTTTTAATAATTAGACAAAGATCATAATATTTTGTTATGGTTAATTAAAGTATTAAAATTTATAACATGACTGTATTTTCAACCCGAACAAAAATAATACGTAAATGGATAAAAGCAAAATGTAGGTACCTACAATTGGTACACCCGTTACTGTACAATGGTATTGCCTACCCGTTAAATTCATTTCATAACATATCATGTTTGATATTACCTTCTCTTAGTGACATCAAATATGGTATTTAAAGTTTAACTACAAAATGTTATTACGGTTTTATATAAAAAATCGTAGTGAATAAAACTGAAGCTACATTTTTTTTTCAATCAACCATATCCGCTGAGTTGCTAAATTAAAATATACTTGGAAATAGGACAAAAATTTAAAAACTAACGAAGGTCGAAATATTATCAAAAATTTCCTCACAAATCTATATATATAAAAGAAAGTCGTGTTAGTTACACTATTTATAACTCAACAACGGCTGAACCGATTTGGCTGAAAATTGGTGGGGAAGTAGCTTAGACCCAGGAGACGGACATGGGTATAGATATGTTTATATATGTATGAGTAAAATAGGTCTGACAGCTGAGTCACTAAAAGTCGTGGCATTTTAACATATGCGTTATCGATAACATTAATAATAATAATAGACGATCTTAATTATCTGAATATGAACCGTATAAATATATACTGGGCTGTAAATATATTGTCTTGTACGTATTTTGTTATTGATATTACGAATTTCTTATCGAATTTTATTTTTTAGATTTGCTTACCCGAAGAATCGGATTGTATGTACCTATGTATTCTACCCATTTTAAAGTCCCACTGCTGGGCACAGGAAACGTCCTTTTCAAAAGGAGTCCATAGGCAACCACGCTGACCATTAAAAAAAAAATAACAAGAAAATATAAAAAATGCTCAAAAAAGGCACGGACGTAAATTTGCTAGGTTCTTTCAGACATGCAGGTTTCCTCCCGATGTCTTCCGTCGCTATAGGGTAGTAGTAATCGTGTTGAAAAATGGATTGTACTCGTATATGATAATATCAGAGGTGCCAAATCCGAGATTTGAATCCCTTTTACTTGGTTTTCCAAGTGAGCGCATTATAACTAAGCAACCGCTGTAATGAGTCGAATTGGGACTCTATAATTACTAACCCTACGATGAAAATAGTTCAATAACGTTTAGATAAGCGTCGTTAAGATAAAACAAAACATTCCAAATTAAGGTCGTGCAATATCTTTGTAGGAGATGAGCTGATATCTGTACTATTTTAGCATTATGAACTGCGTTATAACGAAGACTGATAACCAATTAAATCCACAGCTTCGTTCGCGCTAAAACTACAAAAAATACCTAAAAAGGTAGTTTCATACAAACTTTCATCCCTAATTTTACTCCCTTATCGGATGAATTTCGAAAGAAGCTGAAACACGTATTTATTTAATTTTATTGAAGAGCATTAGTACCAAGTTTCAAGTCTCAATTCTGTTCATAAATCATTTTTTTTAATTGTATTATAACGTGTTTTCCAGTGCGAATTAGATAATCTCCCGCGGTAAAAAGTAGCCTATGTCACTCTCCAGCCCTCCAACTATCTCCACACAAAAAAATACGCCAATCTGTCACTCCGTTTCGACGTAAAAGAAGGACAGACAAACTAACAAACAAACAAACAAACAAACAAACAAACAAACAAACAAACACACTTTCACATTTATAATATTGGTATGGAAGTATGGCTTATCCACTATATCAGTGTCTTGGCTATACCCGTTTACTTGTAAATTATGCTTGTAATTATCATACAGACCAGTCTGTATGATAATTACAAGCATATTTCAACTCGTCCTGTCCACTTATACCAGTTTCGCAAATTAACATAATACTAGGTTAACTGTCTCAAAATAATATTATGTAACTTGCAAGCATATTTCATGACCATTTTGTCCATATGCAGTTCTATTGTAAATAATAGCTTGACTGTGGATATGAAGTCTTAAAAGTTTGGTAACCTCTATAATATCAAAGGCAACCGGGAGAAATGGTTTTTCTGAAATAATGCAATGACAAAATGTGTATGGTCAAATTAAAACGGATCTAAATATTTTTCTTGTAAATCTACTGCATAAGAACCAGTTAGTTTCTGGAATTGTTAAATTAAAAAGTAGCGCCAGGTGATACCTAAGCAGACTACTTATAAAGTATATATTACCTACACGTGTAACAATTAATAATTTTAGCCTATTTCGAATCTTCTGGTAGATAGGGATTATTACAGGTATTAAATAAAAAAAAAACCTAACAGAAGTAGTCTGTAAATCAACAATTCTAACTTCAACAAGGATTTCAAAAACATTTCTTAAAGTTAGTTACGATATCTGTGATGATGATGTTTTTTTAATGGATTTAGGCTATTGAATGCGTATTAGTCAATAACTGCGGCCGGGATTTCAATAGATTTTCGACTAAATACTTAGAGTACGGCGATTCCACCGACTATAGCTTGTTATATTATACTACAGACTCACCCTCGCTCCGCTCGGGTTCGTTCCTAGGTTGATTCCCCATATAAACTTTCATTCCCATTTCAACCTTTTAAGGGATGATTTCCTGGATAAAAAGTATCGTATGTCCTTCCCAGAATTTCAAACTATCTTCTCACCAAATTTCATCTAAATCGGCTCAGTATATCCAGAGGGTCACAAACTCACAATTCACAAACTAACAAACTCACAAACTTTACCTCATTATAATATTAGTATCGATTATAGAACAAAATATATTTTGCTAATTTATATCAATTCATTTTCGCTATTGCACTAGAATGGTGAATTTAATCTACGTTATTTATAATTACATTTTTATCGGCACTGTGTACATTTACACTCTTATTACCTAGTACAATTGTCTTTTTACATGATATATCTACATTTCGTCATCGTTTTAAGAGCTACCTATCGTCAAGGTAAGTAGTATTACAGCTAACTTGGCTCGTTTACATAATACTTACATTGAAACACAAACCTACCAACTAAAATATTTTTGATACGTTTACAATATGAATATTCTTAAACTAAACAAAACAAGAATACTGATTTCTTATGCAATATATGACCGTGCAGTCACTTTGTCGTTTAAGATGTTTAACATCTCAAATATCCCAATCGCCAATATTTACAAATATAAGTCCTTATTTGATTTATATAAAATTTTGCCTTATAATCTCCTGTATATAAAAGCGAAAGGTCATTTCACTCAATAAAAGACCCAAAAGCTCAAAATATACTACTTAAACTATGAAGCTGAAATATGGCAGGTTTTGCTACAGGACTGAATTAAGGGTATGGTTAGTTTACATGAATTTCTACGATATTATTGCTGGAGACATATTATAATAATAATAATTTCAATGTCATTGTTTTATGTTCATACCTAATACTAATAACTATCCCTCGAGGGATTTCACAATTGACATGTTTATTATCTCTTGGCTTAATGCACTGTAAGCGATTGGTATAAAATGGCTTATTTTATACAAATCTAGCGACTCACCCTCGCTTCACTCAGATTCGTCCCTAGTTTTCGTAGCTCACTCCAAATAATGACTATTATAGGCATTTTTTCATACCTTAGGTTACATTGTCTAATACTAAATTGTCCTTTCTAGGGTCTCAAACTATCTCCATACTAAATTGCATCTAAATCGGTTCTTTTAATCGTTCGGATTAAGCGTGAAATGATAACAGACAGAGAGACAGATAGAACTACTTTCGCATTTATTACTTACTAATATTATAAATGCGAGAGTAACTCTAAATAGATATTATTATTAAACAAAAATATTTCATTTTTCAGATTCACCAATTCTAGTCTATGTACACGGAGGATACTGGCAGGAGCTGTCACGGGAAATATCCCGGTACCCAGCACGACCTCTTCATCGTTGTAGAATTAAAACAATTGTGATTGGCTATGACTTGTGCCCTGCTGCCACGCTACCTGAACTCATCAACCAAATACAGAATGCGGCCAGATTCGTTTTTGAATATGCTGAGAAAATGGGATCAAGGTAATCACACTAATAACTAGGTCCTTACATAATACTTTCTTAGATTTACGCGAATATTTGACATTTTAAATAAAAATAATCATTTCGCATCATTTCGTGGATTTATCTTGATTTTTGGTTCCTGACGTTTCGAATGCTTTACAGCAATCATGGTCAGGAGATAGACTAAGGTTTTAGACGTCTCAAAGGCGTTATATACTTATTGCAGATAGTGCCTAGCCACTATTTTACAAAAATGATTTCAAAAATGACAGCAAAGTACATTACACATTTTTTGATTTTAATTCTAAACAACAAGTTTTTATCCCAATTCAAATGATCCCATGAGAGAAGCGACTAATATTATAATAATTATTTCTTATTCATCGATCTATCAATCAATATATATGTATTATTACAAAGACGCGAATAAACAAATTAAAATTTAGTAAGTAAATTAATTATATTATTTAACCATTACACTCTGTTATTTCAAATAATAAATAAATTATAATTTGTTCGTGATTCAATTTGATACCGTTCAGCTTCAATGAAGGATATTAATGCTTGTTATAAACTGCTTCAGGCTGCCAAACCCATTTCCAAATTAAAAGGTAAATTTAACTTTTTGACAAATGAGAATCAATTTAGCTCGGCTAATTAATTTTTTGGGAACTTTATACTTTTTTAAACCACTTCGTTAAAGAAGGGATGTTCTAAGTTTTGCATATTATATAACCGACTTTAAAATAAGAGTAAGTTCTCAATTCGTCGGATTTTTTTTATGTAGTATTACATAAAAAAAGGAAGTGGTAGCCCAGTGGTAACGCTCTCGTTTGGGAAACCGAGTGAAGAGGGTTTAAATCCCGGGTCTCGCGCCTTGATATTTTCATGTGCGGATCATTTCCAACATGATTACACTTGTCTTAACGGTGAAGAAAAACATCGGGAGGAAACCTGCATGTCTGAGAGAACCTAGCAAGTTTTCAAAACACAAATGAAGTGGACTTTGGCCTGATTCCCATTATACTGAAGGGATGCCTGTGCCCAGCAGTGGGACGTTGAAAAGGGCTGAATACATACATACATAAAAAAAAATCCGATATCTCCGCCCATTGTCAACCGATTACAACTTTTTTTATCAAAGTGTAGTAAATAATAGTGAAATTATTGCATTTTAAATTATTTTTGAAGTCAATGTTTCTTTTAAGTAAATAAATGATCTTCAATATTTCTGAATAGATTTGAAAAACTTATCTGTGGTTAGAAAAAAAATACCCCATATTAATTTTCTTAAATACCAAAACATTTAAATTACAATTTGGAGCCCTTAAAAAAATATTATTTACTTTAAATATTATTATATGCTTGTCATTACGTAAAAAAACACTATTGAATCATAATTTATATTATTCAAACGAAGAAATAAAATATTGCAAGCAAATACATACATAGGTATACAATATTTAGTCATTGAATTTGAGAAGTTACTTCTCTACGGCTTCTTTAGAAAAGTTCATTCTGCAATTGATTTGGTTAGTAGAAAATTAAAAAACATTTATCAGAATTACACGTTTTGATCACGTGGCATAACGATTGTTATTTCCATATCTATACATTTAATAAAATTGTAACTAAGCCAAATCTGTACATTAAATATTTTTTTGGAAAATCTTATTGAAATAAACATTATTATCGATACAGAGGCTAAAACTATAGTTTTTAGAATTTTTGTTTGTCTGTCTGTCTGTTACAGCATCACAGGAAAACCACTGGAGGAATTTTGATGAAATTTGGTATGGTGATAGCTGGTTATCCGGGTCAACATATAGGATACTTTTTACGGCGGGAAAATGTCTCATTTCTGAGAAAAAATACAAAAACTGCAATGTAAGAGTATCTAATATGAAAACCTAAGAATTTGGTTTTTGGTCATCTGAACGCGGGAGCCGCGGGCAATGCTTTACATTAGTATTATTCTATACATTTCTGTTAGCGATAATTAACGTAGAGCGGAAGCAGAAGCGCAATACCGATTATATTGTAAGGCCAATTGTCAATGCAATCTCTCAGGAATTATTTCATTTTTAATGCTAATTAATGATTGGCAAGGTTTTAGTGTCCGCAGACGGCATGCTACACATTGTTCTACAATCTAAATAAAACAAACGTAGATACCAGTAAATTCACCATTGTATAGCAGTTATTTTTCATAAGAATTCTACATTATTCTCCTATTAATTTTCAATATTTAATTTTCATATGTACAATTTTAAACTTATATTATACTAGCTTTTCAACCTCATTTCACTCGGGTTGATCCCTAGTGAAAAAACAAAAACAAATCTATCCCACGGGAACTGTACATTTTCGGGATATAAAGTAATTAATGTGTCCAGTTCCGTTAATTCATTCTGGTGTGCTTGAGTAACAAACATCCATTCAAACTTTGCATTTATAATATTTATGAGATGGGATTAATGGGATTACTGTAAACCCTAATGAAATCGATGAAAACAAAAATCTCTGTCTGTACATATTTTTTAATACTATTTCTTTTAAGTATTGTATTACTGCTTTAAATTTCAAAAGTATTATATATTTTTATCTTTACCATACACTTTTTCAGTTATCCGTAACCGTCGCAATGACGAGATGTCTACAGATGTTATGTATACAGAATTATACATATAATAAAAGAGTTGTTTGATCATTGTTTGTATATTGAAGATACTTGAGAAGATTATTGTTGGAGGTCTATTAACGCAATAGAGCCCAATAGAGAACAATGATTTTTAGAATTTTTGTCTGTTTGTCCGTGCGTATGCCCGCGCTAATCTCAGAAACGGCTTAACCGATTTGGGTGAGATTTTCACTAAAGTATTGTTGCTGTTGCTTCACTTATCATTTAGTACTGTAGAAAAACAAAAACAAATCTAACCCACGGGAACCGTACATTTTTCCGGAATAAAAAGTAGCCTAATGTTATTATGAAGTATGAACTATATTATTATTAAGTTTCATTAAAATCCATTCAGTACTTTTTGCGTGAAAGAGTAACAAACATCCATACATCCATACACACAAACTTTCTTTTAGTATTTTGTCGTATTTCAATCGGTTCATAAAAAAAGTTATGCCAATTTAAAGAACCACCTAGGAACGAACCCGAGCGAAGCGAGGTGATTCTCTAGTTTTATAATAAATTCATTGCTATAATTTTATTAACTACAAATGAAAATACCTATTTACCACAGCTATACTTTTGATATGGCAACTGTCAATGGCTTCGTTACTGTATAATTGGAAGTCAAGATCTCTTTACAAAAAGGCACGTTATTTCATTTAAAATACAGTTACTAGATATAACTTTAATACTTTCATGATTTTCATTTTTTACAAATTTTTGCCTGTGACTTTACTAGCGTGTGAACTCGCATTATGTTTTTAATAATAAAAACTTTTTAACAAAAAAATTAAAACCGACTTCAAACAAAAGCACTAAAAAGTAAACAATAACTGATTGGTAGTTTTCATTTACTATACATACCTAATCAAATATTTTCGAAATCGGTGCCAGCCCATACAATGCAAAGCATACAGACTTCGAAAATATTTGATTAGGTATGTATAGTAAATGAAAACTACCAATCAGTTATTTTTTACTTTTTAGTGCTTTTGTTTGAAGTCGGTTTTAATTTTTTTGTTATAAAGTTTTTATTTTTCCCTTTTTAGTGTAGACAGTAGTAGCAAAGTAAGGATTCTAACGTGTTAGGCTTGTCAAATCAAACAAAATAAGCACAAACTCAAAGTATCTACTATTAGCCGTTGAAAGTTCCACCTATCCACCTTTTGGCCTTGCCATCAGATCAGGTCAACAACACCGAATCACTGTACTATCAACGGAAATAGAAATACTTGCAACGTTTCAAGTCAATATGACAATTAGAAGTAGGTTAAAGTCATCATTAGTTGTTTTTCCACCCTTTGGGGTGGTATTTTTTTTTTAAATTTAAATGAGACCAATCTGGAAGTATACCCTTTCAAACAAAACAAAAATTGTCCAAATCGGTTAATAAATGACGGAGTTCTGAGGTAACAAACATAAAAAAAAAAAAAAACATACAGTCGAATTCAGAACCTCCTCCTTTTTGAAGTCGGATGAAAAATACTATTTTATATGTATAGGCTACATAATGTTGTATATTAAAGTCGTATCTTTGTTTTTGCGAAAAATTAATTGAGGCAGGAACTTAGTAGTGTTCTTAACAGGTAAATTTCTAAGAAATTAATTAAAATTCTAAGAAATCTATTGTTAACTGACACGCCGCGCCGCGCCGGCGTGTCCGCGGTCGTGGAGGGAATATTTAAGATAGATAGTGTACCTGTATAAGTATGTGTAAGGTAAATCCTAATGAAAGTTATCAAAGACATGTAATTTAGTAAAAAAGTTTTCCTACATTTTCTGCATCTCCCCCATCATTTTACCCCTCCGGGGCAGAGGCTGACTGCTACCGGACGCGTCCCCGGGTGGCGGATAGGGGAACACCACTCGCGCCTGTTTGGCCCCAACAGGAGCTTGTGGTACCGGAGCAATCCGGCGCGGACCAACAGCCAGGAGGGGAGGTTGAGGGAGCGGCGTTAGAGGGCGCCGTCTCCTTCTTGGAGGTAGCGCGGTGTCTCCGGCCGTTTTGCGGTAGGAGGTGCTGCGCGGGCCACACTGCCGGGACTAGCCCGTCGGTGCGGCGGCTGGAGCGGGGCCATTTCGGTGGTCTTGCGTATGGCGAGGGATGTCGGCAGCCATTTTGGTCCGGAGGTGGGCCGACGGTAGGGGGGCCGCGGGGGAAGAGGAGTGTCGGTATGGCGATGCGCCGCTCGTCCCTATCTCCCGCGGCCTAACGGGACCACCACCGTTGATGGTGGACGCGGTGGGGCTGCAGGGGAAGGGGAGTGTCGGCGTTGTCGCACCCTCTTCTCCTGCAGCCGTTTGTGTTTGGGCTCGTTAGCGGGCATCTTTGGGGGGTTTGCCCAATTTGGGTGGGGTTTATTATTTTTGCAGGTTGCCCACTTCGGTGGGCGGTGTTTGTGTGGTGTGGGGCTGCTCCGGGTACTTCTCTGATCAGCAGAGTGGACTTAGGAGCGGCCTCACTTCTTCTTGGGTTGAGAGTCTTCCCATAATGCGGTTGTCCCGCTTGGGGCGGCCTCATGGTTGGTAGCTTCGGCCAACCGTCGGGGCGTCGCGGTTGTATGCGAGAGCGATCCCGTGGCGTCCCACATGGCGGCAGGGGGGGGGAAGTTGGGTTTTAGTGGGTATGCCGGTCTCATTAGCCGGAGAGTCTCCACATAACCACCCCGGGGGAAGTCGGGTGGTATCCGTAATAGGATTTCCCAACTATAAAAAAAAAATCATTTTACCCCGGATGCAATAATTTCAATAAAATTAACAATAAACAAACATAACCCCCATCGCCTTTTTGTTATATATAGGGAATTCGTATATTTTATTAAGAGAAATCTAGCAACCTCGTTGATGATCTCGTTTGTATACTAATTGGCCCGACACGAAGGCATCGGGCCTTATAACCGCAACTTGTATACAATACCTTAATAGATTCAATCTAATTGAAAAGTAATTGGATTGATATTTATGATGAAGTTTTAAAGGTTGCTTGTCAGATATCTATATTTTTCCATTGATAAATAATTAATTATTTTCATTTATCTGCTGGCTTTAATTACATTGTTTTTGCGTCATTTTTATTAAAATGTGTTATGATTTTAAAAATGTCTGTATTTTCAACAACGAATAAGAAAAGAGTCTTATTACATCTATACTTCTATACGAATGATAAAAAATGTTTTTTTATTCGAACGCACTAATCTATGGAAGTGGTAGTTACATTTCCAAAATTTATTTTTGCATTTTATATAGAAGGTTATTTTATTAATATCTTATTTAATAGTTCACTACGATACTTAGGGATGGAATTATCTATACAGTAGGTGTACATATAATAAAAAAATAAAAAATATATAATAAATAGACTTCACAAGCGGAGCAATATGCAAAAACTAGTGAATAGTAAAGTATAGGATTACTTGATGATATTGATTTTTATAACAAATTCTGTTTTACAGAGGAGTCTACTTCGCTGGACACTCAGCTGGAGCTCATTTAGTGGCAAAACTGCTAGCGAACTCGGATTTTCTTGAGAACACACCAGGATCATACAGACTGCAGGGAGCATTTCTCATTTCTGGAGTTTTTGACTTGCGGGAATTAGTGCATACATCTGTAAATATCGCTGTACAAATACCTAGAGAGTGGGCTGTACCACTATCCCCTCAGTTCGATTGTTTCACTCACCTTCAGGCCAGAAGAGTACGGGTTTATATACTCGCGGGACAAAACGACAGTCCTGCATTCAAAAAGCAGTCAAGAGAGTTCTTCGAACTGCTTTACAACACCTGTTTGATGCAAAACATGTATTTAGAAATAAAAGACGACATGGACCATTTTGATATTGTCGAATGCTTCGCTAATGACGACAACTATCTTAAGAATCTTCTTGTACATGATGTTAGAAAGCATTTGTGAATTGTTATGAATGAAAATTACTAATAGTTATAATTTAGGTATATTTTAAGATCTTTTAGAATTCTATTGAGTATGAATGGCCAATGGCTATAGCTAATATGCAATAAATATTAAATAGATATTATTGTTGTTGTAAAATCGTATCCTCTGGTAAGTCTGAGCATTTTCAAGTAAAAATGATTTGTGAATTTACTATGATGAAAGTCAAAATTATTGAACTTCGATAAATTAATCGAGTCGATGAAAATTTATCGAGTCATTATCAGCGGGCAATGTCGAGGCAAGTTTAATATAGAAAATAAGTCATAATACTACTATTTTGCTACATTTGCCGTTTGTACCTAAAAGGGTAAGTCATAATATTAAGGATGTTTATCTAAAGTCTTAGTTAATGTTACAATTTACTAGAAAACATTAGATTTCATGGTTTTGTATGTATTTGTAATTTTGAGACTCAGGGCAATGACTTTACGTTGTTTATTGCAACCTGGGTCGCGGATTCGATCTCAGCTCTAAACTGGAAATGTTTGCTATTTGATACATTTGTGGTAGTTTCCAGTTTTATCATCATTATAGGAGAAGTGAATGTCGATTTGCGAATCACTTTATTATCTTTGTTCACAGATAAACAGTTTCAATAGCAGCAATCATACATATTTTAACGTAACATAGATCTATATATATAATAAAACTGTAGAGGTCGAATATGTAGAGGTACATAGAAAAAAATGCTAATAACCGAGTCAGGGGAATGTAAGAAGATAAATAAAATAAATCCAGATTTTTTTTCAAGTTTTTTGCTTCTCTGTCTGTTTGTCTGTTTGTACGGGCTAATCTCCGAAACTGTTGGACCGATTTAAATGAAATTTAACATGGTAGGATTTTATATACCCAATCAACATTTTAGATATTTTTCATTCCTGAAAATTAAAGAGCTCCTGTGGAATAGTTAAAAACTATAGTAACTTATTTGTACAGCTTAGTACACAAAAACTACTGATTGAATTTTAATGGAACTTTACAATAATATAGTTCATACATCAGAATAATAAATCGGCTACTTTTTATCCTGGAAAAATGTGCTATTCCCGTGGGATAGACTTATTTCTGTTTGGCTAGCTCGCTAATTACAAAATAAAAACGATAATTAGTACAAAAAAATGTACATTATGGTTATTACGATTCACTGCGTATACTTCATTTAAATATTTTACTAGATACATATATTTAACTATTAAAGCACAATAATATTATAGTGCAATACAATTATCATAAAAGATCATTTAAGGTATATATTTAAAGATAGGTACTAAGTGTATTCGTAACTTCGTTGAATAGAGGTTTGTACCTAACTATTGATTAACTTGTTTATTTTTTTTATTTTATTAGGATAACCAACAAAAGTTACATTAATACATTCGTGGTTACAAATCAAAGATAAATGTACTTTTTTTTACAGGTTATTAACCGACTTCCAATTCCAAAAAGAAGGAGATTCTCAATTCGTCGGAATCTTTTTTTTATGTATGATCACCGATTACTCGAAGACGCCTAAACCGATTTGCAATTTTTGTTTTTGTTTCAAAGGGTAAACTTCCCAGGTGGTCAGGCACCGACTTCGAAAATATCTGATTAGGTGTCTATTCTAAATGAAAACCTCCGTTTAGTTATTTTTTACATTTTAGTGCCTGGAAGTCGGTTTTTATCTTTTATTAAAAAGTTTTTATCACATCATGCATTAAATGAAAAAAAAATATTATTAGTTCCTAACATATGTCATTAAATTAACTCTTCTTCAATTTTTCTATAAGAATTATAATAAATACGTTATTAAAAACGTGTAACTATTTTGGGATTTTTGTTATGAGTTGATGTTAGAAAATACCAAATTCTGAGAATAATCTGCTACAATCTTTTAAAAATGTAAAATATAGAGGAAAATGTTTAAAAAAGATAATATTCATTTTCTTATCGTACAGCTATTTCGTAACTGTAGTCTCATTTCGTATGGTTTTGGATCATTTCACAATATTTATTTATTTATTTATTAGTTTTATTGTTTGAGAATAGAAATTACACTATTCTGTAATATTTAGACATGCAATTTTACCAAATTGCTTAGTTTGCTGCGCGGTTTCTTATCTCATTCCCATTAACTTCGTTCTTACGTACATTTTCTTTACTATTCCTTGTGGGGTAGACAGTAGCTATTAACTTTTTTCTCCATACTTATATATTTCTATAGGCGGTCCTATAGGCATAATATACTGGCAGCTTGCTCTGACATCGCTCGGTTGTTTTTTGTTTTCACCTTTCGAAAAATATTTCTCATAGAAATGAAAGATTTTTTTTATCATAAAAACAAATGTTTTTTATTAAGAACAAATCAAATTTTAAGTAAATCAGTCGGAGTCTGTGAGACTAAGCCAACCCTTTTCACCCTTTGAGAGATTGGATTTCTAAAAATCATTTCTAGTACCTACCCATGTTATATGGAAATAAGGTGTCAAAATTGAAGCCCTTCATTTCCAACGGCTTGGTGTGGAGTTCCGGGGTGAAGGACTCAGTCAGAATATGTATTATTGTGTTACATAAATTATAATAGATATACAAAATAAAAATTTCATTGCTTAAGTAATATAACAAGATATTTAAGGTGGTGTTTTTTCGTAAATTTTATGAAAAATACTAATGTATCCTTAATTATCAACTAGTTGTAGCTGAGCTGGCGTATTGAGTACATAAGTTCAATTATTTTATTATCTACATAATATATGTATTAAGTGACATTGAATTATCATATTTTATATGCGTGGATAACTAAGCTCACTGTTTGTTGTAACAATTAAAAAAAATATATTTTATTAAATGCAATATTTTTAATTTGAAGAAAAATTTTTTTATGAATAATATTTTGTTTACACATTTATTTACCTACTGATCCACTTGATAGCGATTGAAAGTTGTCAATATAAAATTAATTAAAAATCTTCGTAACTCTACTAATAATACATAATATTGTGTGGATATAATAATGGAGAGTGTGTAACGTCATTACACCAAAAATAATAATTAAAAACCACGTCTGAAGCATGCTTGTTAAATCCTAAGACAACAACACATGACAATTAACAGACAAGGATAGTTAATCGTAAATTGCCGTGTGTAAGAGTAAGAGAGGAACAAAACCTTCGAAATGACTACTGAAAGGTTTGGAATTTTCGAATACTAGAATATTCTTTGTTTATACATATTAAAATACCGGCAGTGAGTCGCGAGATAATTTGAATTTCGAAGCTAAGTGAACACTGAGAAGAAGTACAAAAAGTAAAAAAGTGTAGAAAAGTGGAGTGAAGTCATAGTGAAAGTGTATCTAATGGTGAAAATTAGGGTTCAGTGACTGAAATAACCAGTACTGTGTAGGTATATACATCGGAAATAAATTTCATAAAATGAAAATTCGGAATAGAGGAGCTTACATCCTGATACTTTTAATAAAAGAAGCATGCGCACGAAGTCACACGCAATAACTGGTATGTAGGTATGTATATGTAAACGTCGCGTTTCTTAGATGGTTTGCCTTTCTTCTTGATAATGAATCGATAGTGTTTTACATAGATGATAGAGTTATTTACGGTTCAAGAGTGACATAGCTACTTTTTATTTTGGTACATCCATAGCCCTCACAGTGGTATTTGATGCGTGAAATGGATATCAATCTGGACTTTCTAAACATAATAATAATAAACTAGAAATAAGATAGAATTACGAGTATCGCATTTAGTCCTTATTTGGCATTCACTATACACGCCTCCTTTCAATGCGAGGGGCCACACAGGGGGAATTCGTGGACTTCGCATATCTTCTATTACTTAGGTCCACTTAAACATTCAGGGTTCCTCAAAATGTCTTCATCCACCGTAAGGCTGTTGGTAATCATCACACATTATAAACTCGCCCGAACTGTTATGTGAAACAAGATACATGTTCATCGTTTTGCAGATATGAAATAAGAAATACATGTTTGGCAGTATCTAATTAAATAAAAATATTTATGTGAGTAAAGCTGCAGACAATAGCTAGCGTATATTGGCCCTGAAGTATCTTCGGGGTAAATCTTTTTACATGTCTATGGAGAAAACGCTACTATGAATTAGCCGCAAAAACGAGGATATGTCGCATGTAAATAATAATACGAGGCTGTGTGAGACATTATAATTAAATTCCATCAACTATGCGAGAATTTAATTAAGCAAATAAGCCTATGTCATTGTATTTACGCCACCGCTGACATTAAACCGCGAATTTATTCATCGTAAATTATGAATTGCTAACAAAACTCCAACTTTTCGACTCTAAATCGCACGCTTTTGAAACTAAGTATTGATTTGTATTTATATTATCATATGAAAGCATTCCTATTGAATCATTAAAATATCATATTTTGTTATGTTTATAGAGTTCATATTTGCTGCAAGAGTATTTCCCTATACAATATTGCAGCATGAATACCTTTTGGCAAATTCAAAAAGCCATTTTCTGTAATATTCTACACGTAAAATTATTTACATTAGCCTAACATCTATATCTATACTTTTAATATTATAAATGCGAAAGTTTGTTTGTTAGTCCTTCTTTCAAAGAGAGTGAAGGATTAGCGTAATTTTTTGTGTGGAGATAGTTGGAGGGCTGGAAAATGATATAGGCTACTTTTTACCGCGGGAGAGCATCTAATTCGCACAGGAAAACACGTAATAATACAATCATGGACGAATTAGAGACTGGACCTGACCAAAAATACAAGTGTATGAAAACTAGTTCAACCAAGTGACGCATAACGCACACAAAGATTTTATTACATTATTATAAACACTGATACACAATATAATATTTTTAGTGCTTGAACATAATCGATAAAATACATGTATCGATGAAATTCGTTCATGAATACAATCCAAGAAATATTTATAATCAGAATTACTTGAAACTTGGTATTAATGCTCTTCAATAAAATGAAATAAATACGTATTTTGGCATTTTTGGAAATTCATCTTATAAGGGAGTAAAGCAGGGGATGAAAGTTTGTATGAAACTGCCTGTTTAAAGATTGTTTTGTAGTTTTAGCGCGTGCAAAGCCGCGGGTTCTGCTAGTAACTATATATTTTGAGGAAAATTTATACAACTTTATTTGTTTATTATTTTAAGTTTTTTAAGTATACTTAAAAATAAAAATATTTTAAATCAAGTCCACATTTTGTGGACCTATAATTCAGTCTATTAACGCTATTTATTGTCAAAATAATATAAAAATATATATTACCAAAATAAAATTCGCGATTGAATCTGTACAAAAAATATTTTTTGGAACATTTTATTGAAGTAGCTATTATTATCGATACAGAGTCCGAATCTATAGTTTTTAGATTTTTTGTCTGTCAGTCTGTCAGTCTGACAACGCATCACGAGAAAACCACTAGGCGGATTTACATGAAATTTAGTATGGTGATAGCTGGTTGTCCAGGTCAACATTAAAGATACTTTTTAATGCGAGAAAATATCTCATCTCTGAGAAATCTAGCTATACCAACCGTTAAAACGTACCTAGAGACGAACTCGAGTAGAGCGAGGTTGAGTCGCTAGTAATACATAAATAATTAACCAACATTTTGTCATCATAATAGCCATTAATATATCTGATTTCATTACAAAAAAGTCCGTTCATTAAAATAAAAGAAATATCAAGTCTTAATAATGTCTCTATTAATTCAGATAAATAAATAATTATTATTAAATCTCATCTAAAATATTATAAGAAACAATCTTTTATTCTCTAAATACGTTCTAATTAAAATTTGTGGACAGTATATTTTAAGCTTTCAAAGTACCTTTTGTAGTAGCTGGCATCGTAGCAACTCTACGTAGCTCCGCCATACCACCGCGCGCAGCCGAATCGTCTACACCGCGACGATGAGCCTCGCACCCGCACGGTACTACGATCGCGAATATGCTTCAGTACTAACTTAAACTTTCCTCTAACTGAGGTTTAAAAGCAATATAATTTAAGAGTAAGTTAACTTTAGGTTCATCGACGAAATTAATTCATTCCTGATTCCAACAATGTTTAAGGTGAGTTGTAGATTTTCTTATTGGAACACATTTACTGATAAAAGTTTATATTTGAACTTAATTATTTTATTATAAATATATATAATATAGAGATTATTTAGATAAATATATATAACATAGAATTTATTTTATTACAAAAGAGAGTGGTATTTTACTGGATATCTGTTATTTTATCGCAAATAAGAGTAAACTCACCAAATTAAAAATTGTATAATTCATTTATATTTTTCCAAAGTATTCCTTTTGGAAGTCAAAACAAATTCTTGTTTTAAATAATTTTAATATTAAAAAAATACTAAATTATATATATCAAATAAGTTTTATAATAGGTACCTCATTTTTCCCGCGCTTTAAGAAACTATAGTTTAGTTTGTTTTTAAAATATAAACGAACTACACATTTAACCAGTTAGACCTTTTAAATTATTAATATAAATTATATACTTAAAACGCTATTAATTATAATATCAGTAAGAAATACGATATTTTATACTACTGACGTATGATAAAACTAAAAGAAATATAATCCCTTAGATATTATAAAAAGGTCATATGAAATATAATTATAAAAATATAGCGCATAGAAGAATATAAAACAAAAATGTTAATTCTTTGAAGTAAGTTCCACTTAAAGAATTGCTTCAATATAATATTTATAAGAAGTGCGATGAAGATGTAAATTTAATAATTATATATATTATAATAATTTTCATTATTTTTAATTTCAAATAATATATTCAATGCGTGTTTCACACAAGTATTTCATAAATTATTAAAGTCTGACAGCCTTCACCAAAATTGAAATCTACCACATTAGCCTAACCTCTTTAACTGGATTTAAAAGCTTTTCAACTCAGAAAATATAATAGAAATGAATAACATTTATTTTGTGACTCATTCACATTCCTACTTTTGTCTGTAATAAAATTGCACATTATTATAAAATTCATATAAGAAAAGGTCATATTTAGATTTTGCTCTTACAAAACATTATTTTGGATATCCTTTGATAAAAAATATAATACCACTGATAATAAAAATATTATTTTAGTTTCTTTTATTATAATACTAGTGACTCACCCTCACTTCGCTTGGGTTCGTCCCTAGGTTGCTTCCCAATACAAACTTACATCCTCATTTTCACCCCCTTAAGGAATGATTTCCGGGATAAAAAGTATCCTATGTCCTTCCCAGGGTCTCAAACTATCTTCTTACCAAATTTCATCTAAATTGCTTCAGTAGATTATCCCTTACAACGTCACAAACTCACAAACTTTACCTCTTTATAAAATTAGTACAGATATTTTACTAATTTATTTCTAAATACAAAATTAAAATTTTCTATACTTAAATTAAATTCAAATACAGATAGTTTTTCGTACATGATAATAATCATTTGATAAACTACATATTTAATGTGCATTAGATCGATTATATACCTATTACCGCTAATCGACTACAACTAATGCTAGTATTATTCACTATAGAATAAAAAAAGAAATAAAAATATTAATATTTTTACTAAAGATCCTTTCTCATAATATTTTCTTAGATTTACATGAATATTTGACATCTATACATATAATAAAACTGTAGAGTTCGAATGTCTGGACATAGAAAAAAAAAAGCTCAAAACCGAGTCAGGGGGGTGTAAGAAGAGAAATAGAACAAATCCAGATTTTTTCATTTTTTTTGTTTCTCTGTCTGTTTGTTTGTACGGGCTAATCTCCGAAACTATTGGACCGATTTAAACGAAATTTTGCATGGTGCCACCTTATGTCCCCGGTCAACATCTTAGATATTTTTTATTAGAATTTTCATTCCGGAAAATTAAAGAGTTTCTGTGGGATAGTTAAAAAACTATAATAACTTATACTTACACAACAACATATGCACCTAATTTAGTAAAATTTGGCATGCGGATACCTTATATTGCCGATCAAACAACAGGTTACTTTGTATCCCGTAAAAAATGAATGGTTCCCGTGGGATAGATCTGTTTGTGCTTTGCTAGTTTTAAATAAAGTATTCGTTACACAAAAAAGACTGAAAAGGAATGATATCCTAGGTTATTGAAAAAAAAGTATAAATATGAAGAAGATTGATCAGTGGCGGCTCTTACTGTAAAAAATAATCTTCGAACATATCTGCTAAAAGTAAATACTGCTCGTAGATTTCCTTATAAAACAAAAAAAAGTATCTTTTCGATTTTTTTCCAGATTTATTTAGATTTTTGATTCCCGACATACGTAATTTCATTCGCGTTCGGTCCTTTCACAGTAATAAAAAAATCATATTTAGATCGATCTTGTAATCGTGTCTCTTTCAGAGCTTTTAAAGTTTTTGCATATTGATGACAGAGTAAATAGACGTTTTCGGACGGATTCTATTTACTTAGTAAGTTTTGAGTTAGTACTCTTCAGTACAATCTTTTTATTCACATGGGACATTTAAGCCCAACGTACGCGTACATAATACGAATGGACCTTATAACAACATATTTCGCCTCTCAAAATTCGGACAAAACTGAATATGTTTCTTTGTAGAATTTTTATAAAGATGACCTCAAAGAAAGCAAACTTGAAATTAAGATAAAAACTTTAAAAAATAAAATAATAACCGACTTCCAGGCACTAAAATGTAAAAAATAACTAAACGGGAGTTTTCATTTAGAATAGATACCTAATCAGAGAACGTAATATATTTCGATACGTAAAATACATATTTACCTATTAGATATTCATATCTTAAAATATTGTCAGCTAAATATAATAACAAATCATAATGCGACGACGAAAATGTCACTTTAAATATTTCATTTTCCGTTATTGTATGTAAGTAAAAGTTATCATTATTCATTAGTCTAATTTACACTAGTTTTATTAAATTCATAAATAACTAGCATGTAGTTACATAAGAGATACGAAAGAAAATATTTTTGGGCTAATATTACCAATCACCGACTTTAATGAAAATTTACTAAAGACAACAAATTATTAAAACAATTTCAAATGTCAACCCCGTTGATATGACATAACAGATTCAATAATGTCAATGAAAGGAAAATGGAACATAATTCTGACAGTAATGCCTTATTAAAATAACATTCATGACAAAAACGAAAAGCCGAATAAATTATGATAATTTTAAATCTATTTCATATACAAATTTAATAAGAGCGTTGTACTAATATTTTAAATCCGAAAGCTCGTGATAAACTTTTCGCAAGCTTATTTACACTTAATCTGTTGAACAGATTTTAATGAAACTTTGCACATATAGAGACCAAATCTTAGACTTATACCACGCAAATAAAAATAGAAACAATAAATAAGTAAACTGCTTTTAATACTTTATAACTTATTTCTATTTTAATATACAACTTAAAATACTTATGTGACATTTTAAATTGGAAGTCGGCAAACTTCTATGTATAATTTGCTTGATATTAGGTACTCTCACATACAGCGGACACGGTAACGAGAATTGTATTATAAACAGCTAATTATAATACTATTTCAGACTTCAAGTGAAATCATTTATCGTATAACGTATTCTTTTAATCTGAGGCCTCGAATTAATAACACGAAATACTTTTTATTTTTGTACATCAATTATGTGCCTATACCTATCATATAAATAGATCTTTTGTAAAGTAAACCTTAAAACTTACATCTGTTCTTTTTAGATAGTAATAAAATCAGGAACTACATATACAACAGCATACAATATCATCATACAATAGGCCATCGGAAACAACAAAACTTAAAAATAATATCAGATACGTGTTTATATTTATAGACGTAAATAAAATACTTATAATAATAATATTATATATAGGTATATTATAATTATGAAAATCACTAATCATAACTTATAAAGCTATTTCATTACTCTGCGTGCCCACATTATTACCAACCCTTATCAAAATTATAAAGGAAAAGTTCAAACCAAATCAGACTACATTTCGAATATATGAATTCAATTAGAAACCTGTATGGAAATCAATATCGAAATTTTATTAATTCGGTAATTTATTTCGCACGAAATGATATACAATTTCAATCTCGCTTCAATGAAAGATGATGAATAACGTGGAGAAGCAATTATACTCGAAAATGTCAACAGAACCAAATCTCAGGGTCCTTTAACTCTTTGCTCTGTGTATTTGCCTACGTTTTAATCTCTCTTAAAACAACTCTTGTATCTCTTGAAAATAAATAAATTGATTCATTTATACATAAATTAAAAAATATATTATAAACATAAAAAACCCGACTGCATAACTAAAAAGATGAAAGCTAACTAAAAAGGAGACACACACGTTTGATCCTTGCCGCTAAATGTACAAAACTGTGTATGTCTCCGACTGCTTTCATCTTTTTAGTTAACTTTTATGGAGCCAGATTTTTTTATTTTTATAATATATTTGTTTATTTACAGCATTTCAGTTTTTGCTAATTAGACATTTGAAGTTAAATTTAGGATTTTTTTATCCTAAATTATTCTTTAATATATAAATTGTATGTATTTTTGTGATCGCTTCTTAAAAACCTATGTTTTTATATCCCACTCAATTGGTTTGGAATATTTTTTTAAAAATATACAAATTGGCGCCTGGAATCCGCCATTTTAATTTTTAACTATTTTTATATAGCCTATGACACTCTTAAATCAATCATCAAAATCGGCCTATGCGTTTGGTCTCTAGAAAGCCACATAGAAACGTACATAAATGCATATAAACATACATACATACATAGACTGATAAACATATTACCTTCCTTTGCGTCGCGCAGTAGGGTAAAAAGAAATATTTTCATTAATTGTTTCTAAAATGTAGTTTGACTGAATATAAAAATCGAAATTCGATAGTAATCTATCTATTTCTAACATTTTTCTAAACCTCTGTACTGATTTTGAAATTTGACGAGAAGGTCTAAGAGACACTACGTTCTGAGAAAATATACATTCTCGTGAGATGGGAAAAATCTGTACGAA